ATGGAACAGAGTGTAATGAATTTATTATACCTGTGGGGTTTGGAAAGAGTATTATGTCAGGAGGCAGGAGACTGAGGGTCGAATCCTAGCCTTATAACTCAGGCCATAGCTGTATGAACTTGGGCAAGTCTCTCAACTTTTCTGTCTCAGTTTTTCCCTCTATAAAAAGAGAAGGGGCAGAGGCAGGGGTTGAATTAAACGGTGACTGAGGATTCTCTCAGCCCTTTTTAAAAAATATCTTTTTGGGACCAGTAGTTGGCATAATGGCTATGTTGCTGGACTCCCATGTGGTCAACCACGGTTCGAGACCTGGGCCCGGTGGCTTAAACTCACACCAGGCATGTGTGTGTGCATGCGCGCGTGCACCCAAGATCCTGAGAGGAGAATGGAGGAGAAGAGATTGCGGCATGGCCATCTCCTCGGGGGGGTGATATCTCCCTTTCCATTCTCTGTCTTTCTGGTGAGCTCACGTGCCCTATAGCAAAAACCTCTCCAAAAAAAAGAAAGGAAAAAAAAAAAAGAAATAAAAATACCTCTTTTTATTTTTTACTTTTTTGGTCCGAGGGCACATATGCCTACCAAAAGAGAGGGAGAAGAAGGAAGCAACCCCCACCACCAAGGGTCATGGTCACACCACAATCTCTTCTTCATATTTATTTTGTTTTAGAGATTTTTGCTATAGGGTGTGTATGCTTGACAGAGAGACAGAGAGACAGAAAGCAAGAAATCACTCCCCGGGCAGAATGGCCACACCACAATCCATTCTCCTTCATTCTCCTTTTGGAATTCTTAGGCACACATGTATATGCGCTCTGCGTGAGTTTCAAGTCTCTGGGTCTGGGACTCAAACTACAGTTGGCCATGTGGGAGTCCAGCGATGTAGCCATTATGCCATCTGCTGCCCCTCCCCCATTTCTTCATCTTGTCATGATTTGGGGCACACGTGTGCCTGGCATGTTTTTTAAGCTGCTGGGGCTTGGATTCAAACTGCAAAGTCAGCTGTGTAGGATCCAGCTCCTTTAACCATTAGGCTATGGGTCCTACCCTTTCTCAACTTTAAATTGCTTAAATCTGAGGATAGTAACCCCTGCTTCATCCCCACCCAGACACCTTATAGCTCTAAGCTTGGCCATACCTAGGAGCCTCGTCTGGGGAGCCTCATCTGTTGCAGGAATGGGGCTTCCTTCAGCCTGTCTTGACAATGAGCAAAAGGATAGCCAAACGTGGTGCTTCGGAATTCCTCACATCACAGGTGACATCACCTTCCAGAATATTCTATTTTTGGGGCCCATGCAAAGTCTTCCTTGTTAAGGTGGGGTGATTTGCAGCCTAAGGAGCAAGATTGCAGCATGCCCAGAGAAAGGATGTAATAGGAGGCATTTTTGACATTCCATCCCCCTGCTTCACCCCACTGGAGGCAAAGGTGATTCATGAGTAAACTCACTTCCTTGTAAGCATATGTCACACCGACTGGATTCCAGTCCCTCTGGACTCTGGGGACTCGAGACCCAGGCAACAAGACTGTGCAAGAAACTTGCCCCTTAGTGAAAGAAACAGGCATGCAGCAACCTAGTCCCAAAGGGCAAGATCGGGCCTGCTGAGATGAGCGAGTCCCGTGACCTCAAGTGTCCTCCCCGTGCAGTCTCAGGCAGTCTGTTAACCCTCCAGTCTGTACCGAGCTCTCACTGGGAACGTTTATGGACCACGTGCTGCATGCTGCATGGCTCTGGCTAAGCAAGTTCACCGAATAATTGATTTAACCTCATTACAGTCTAGTGAAGTGAGATTAGTACAGCTGGGAACACCCAGATTCAGAGAGGTGAAATGACCTGCTCAGGATCCCACAGCAAGACATTCAACAAGTCTCACCACCAAAGCACAGCCCATCAGGTTGAGCTGAGCCTCCCTTTTCTCTCCTGTCCTGTACTTGTGTTAGAGCTTCTGTCCTTGGATTACACATGATGATGCATGTTTCCTTCTCTGTCCAGAAGGTCCACTCCTATGACCCCTTGCAGCCGCATTCCCTAGCCGGCTGCACAGCTGGCCCTAGTAAGACAGTTTGCCCAATGACTTCAAGAAACTAGACTGGGCTTTTGTGCCATACCACTCAGCCCTGCCTGTGGCTTTGTTCCTGACCTCAGAGAGGACTGGGGTAAGGTACAGGGATTGAAAGCCAACAAGGATACACTCATGCAGAGGGAGGTGGGAAGGCTCTGTAGCTGAAGAAGGGGTGGCGGGGGGGGGGGGGGGGGGGGAGGCAGGGAGTTCTGGGGATGGTAAAAAGGTAGGTGACATAGGAAGTAACTAACACCTGCTTCGTGCAGTCAGGCGTTATGTGTAGGTAGTCTAAAAATGTTTATTACCCTTCGACCTAGAAGTTCCACTTCCGGGAAATGATCTTAAGGAAAATCTCCAAAATCCGGAGGAGGTAAAGCTCTATTCACGACAGCGTTCATCACGGAGCTATTTATAAGAAGGTAAAAAAAAAAATACAAAACGGAAGCAGCCAAAACATTTCTCATAAGAGAATGGAGAAGAAACTAGTATATACAGCAGTCATTAAATGGGATGTTTTCAAAGCCTCTGAATAACATTCAGATTCAATTATGTTAAAATGTTAAGGGAAATAGCAGGTTAGGAATAATGACAATAGCTGTCATTTATGGAGTGTTATTTCCTAGGTACTGGGCTGAGTGCCTTCCACATTTGGTGTCATTTAATCCATCCAGCAACACTGAGAAGGTGAAAAATCCTTCCACAGAGCAGATTCGGAGACTGAAGTTCTCCCAGGTAGGGATAGAGGAGCTGGGATTCGAGCCCTGATCTCACTCTGGTGCGTGCGGACTTGGTCTTACCACACCCAGCAAGGAGACCCAAGAGAATGTCTCCGGTATTAACAGTGGTTCTTTTTCAGGAATAGGAGTGGAAGGAGGGGTGATCCTCCCGACTTCCCTGTATTTTCCAAATTTTTCGTTACGGAGTTGTGATACTCTTTTGGTATCTTTTCCCAATTTTCGGTTACTTATTGCGCTTATCATTCTGCCGCTTCATTATTGTAGCTTCATTTTTTTTGGGGGGGGGGTGTCATTATTTGTTTTTTTGCGGTGTCTCCCCCCAAACCCCCGCAACTCTGTTTTTTTTCATTTGCTGGTAGATTTCAGTGACCTTACCATCTTCAGATGCTCTTTATTCTTTGGGGACTCAGACTATTTCATGATAGGTGTTTGGCAGAATTTATTTACTGGGGGTTTCCATTTGAAGGGCATTGGGAAGGTTTCTAACTTCACTAATAGAATCAATCCTGCAAGGAGCAGCCTTGTTTCCATCCCTTCAGGCATAAGGTTTTGTTTGTTTTTAGCAGAAAAGAATGAACTTTTTAAAAAGTGCTTGTTGTAGGCTATCCTGTGGACATAGAGGGATTAAGTCAGGTGCTCCAGGTTTGAAAACGGTCCCCGTTGGTACAAACATGGGCTGGCATGAGTGGGCCTATCGGATGGACCAATGTCTCTTATTTACCACCTTCCCCTTCCGCCTTGGGGCAGCCTTACCACCAGACCCACCTCTCAGGCCTAGGGCTTGTCTCTTTGGGGGAAGTTCTGGATTAGCTCTCTCCCCTCCCCCTTGATTTTTTTTCTTTTTTTTTTTTTTTGAGAGATTTTCACTGTAGGGCGCTTGCACTCGCCAGACAGACAGAGAGAGACATAGAGACAGAAAGCAAGAAATCACCCCCCAGGGGGGATGGTCACACCGCAATCCCTTCTCCTCCATTCTCCTCTCGGGATCTTGGGCACGCACGCACATGCGCCCGGCGTGAGTTTTAAGCCACCGGGTCCAGGACACGAACCGCGGTCGACTACGTGGGAATCCAGCGACATAGCCACTAGCTAACTGCTGGTTCCCCCCCTTGATTTTTTATTAACATGCAGCTGGCTTCTTTTTAGCTGTGGGCAACTCTTCTTCCTGAAGAGTTATTTCAATGCCTCTGGGGCACCCGGATGTGGAACTGACTCCATTTCCTTCAATTCCACACCTTCCCTGGAGGTCTTTTACAGCAAATGTAGTTTGAAAAATCAGAACCTCAGCCAGTTCCTTACACCTGCTGGGTGGCCTGCAGCCAGCTTTGTCAGGACCTGGGCTGCCAAGCCTCCTTTATAGGGAGTAAGGGCTGGAGTTAAAAGATTTCCAACAGCTCCTACCAGTCACTGTGATTCCTTAAGCTAAGCGCTGACCTCCCTAATCATGTGATCTTGGGCGAGTTATTAACTTCTCTGAGCATCAGTTTCTCATCTATACGAGGGCAGTGAGGTCGTCCCGATAGGCTGTGCAGATTAAACGAAGTACTACCATGGCTTTGGCGCCTAGCATGGTGGCTGTGCCTGGAAAACGAGCAATGAGTCATGGATCCAGTCCTGAAGGATCTGAAGAATGGGAGTCCCTGGGCTCCTTCCAGCCCAGCCTCCAAGGTTACCTTGGGGGGGGGAGGGGGCTGCCAGGAGCCCTTTTCTTTGAGAACCTCTCATCCAGTCAGGAAAGCCCATTTCTTTTTCAGCCAGTGGTATTGTATCCTGAAACCACCTAAGCTTAAAGCCAATAACAAAAGTAACACCCCATCTGAAGGCAGCTCTTGAACAATTGAGTCCAGACCCACCCAGCTGCTCAGGTCAGCAAACGCATACCCATCCCCCGTCATCCTTAGCTTTCTCTTTATCATCTCTCCATCCTTAGCCACCAGAACATCATTCTAAAGCTAGGGGAAATAGCAACTTAGTGAAGTTGAAAGGTGTATTTCACAATGTATTGATATTATTAGAGAGTGGAAAAAAAGCGAAGTGCAACACAAAAGTCTGACACTACTACTGTAGTAAAAGAACGAGCTCTACTTAAGTATATGGAAGTGTATGTGTGTTTATATATTTATATACATGCTTTTTTTGGAGGGGTTCGCTATTTGTGACAAATTTCCATCCACATCTATGGCTCTCTCCAGTCAGAAATTCTTTAAAAATATGGAATGCTCCATGAATTTGCATGTCATGTTTGTGCAGGGGCTATGCTAATCTTCTATCATTCCAATTTTAGTATACGTGCTGCTGAAGCGAGCACTATATGTTCTTTTTATATACTTATATGCATTTTGCTACTATAAAAAATTCTGCTAGTACAGGTTGAGTATCCTTTATCTGAAATGCTTAGGATCAGTAATGCTCCAGATTTAAGATTTCTGGGGATTTTGGAATATTTACATAGACGTAATGAGCTATCTCAAGGATGGGACCAAGTCAAAACGCAAAATTTATTTATATTTCATATTCACCTTGTACACATGGCTTGAAGATACTTTTATACAATAATTTAAATAATTTTTTTGTGTGAAACAAAATGTATATACATCAGCAAAGTAAGAATTTTCCACTTGTGGCCTCCTACCAGCTCTCAGAAAGTTTGGGATTTGGGATTTTCAAATTAGGGATTCTCAACCTGCATAAAAATGTTATCAGTTATCAGCAATTCCTTTTGGGGAGAGTGGTAAGCTCTTCCTGTTTACTTTCTTTATTGCTCAACTTTCTGATAATGAGCATATCTTTTCAGAGAGGCAGTTTTTGTAGTGGTTTGGAATGGAGGAGGTCTTGGAGCCAGACCATCTCGTTTGGCCTCAAACTCAGATATGTATCTCTGAATCAGATACTGAAGATCTTGCAGCTCATTTGTAAAGGTGGAATGACAATTATATTAGGTCATGAGAAAAGTCATGACACATTTTTCTATGTTCTTTTATGCAACAATGCATCATGACTTTCCCAGCAACCCAATAATACAATCACCCTCACAGAGTTGTCTGGAGAGTTAAATGACAGAGATCCATATACTAAGCAAACTGTCTGACATTCTGTAGGCACTCAGAAAAAGTCGGGCCAGCCAGTGGAAGGTGGTTAAGACAGCTGGATCCAACATGGCCGACCATGTGGTTTGAGTCCAAGACCTGGCAGCTTGAAATACACACCGGGCGCATATGCATGCATGCCCCAAATCCCAAGAAGATAAAGAAGGGATTGCAGCAAGGACACCCTACCGCTGGGGGAGGGGGTTCTTTTTCACTTTTACTCTCTCTCTATCTTTGTCTTCCTGGTGAGCACATGCACCCTACAGCAAATAAAAAAAAATTTTAGAGGATTTTGATATAGGGCACGTGTGCTCACCAGAAAGACAGAGAGAGACAGAGACAGAAAGCGACAAATCACCCCCCACCACCAAGGGGGATGACCATGCCGCAATCTCTTCTCCTCCATTCTCCTCTCAGGATCTTGAGCACGCATGCACACGCGCCTGGCATGAATTTAAGCCACCAGATTTGGGGCTCGAACCACCGTCAACTATGTGGGAGTACAGTGACATAGCCATTACACCAACTGCTGGTCCCTGGCTTTTCCTTTTTTTAAAAAAAAGTATTTGCAGGAGCAGAAGATAGCATATTGGTCGCTTGACTCCCGCATAGTCAACCACGATTCGAGCCCCAGACCCAGTGGCTTAAACTCACACTAGGCATGTGTGCGTGTGTGCCCAAGATCCCAAGAGAAGAATGGAGGAGAAAGGATTACAGCATGGCCATTCCCCCTGGGAGGGGATTTCTCGCTTTCTGACCCTGTCTCTCTCTGTCTTTCTGGCGAGCACACGCACCCTATAGCAAAAACCTGTCCAAAAAAGGGAAAAGCCAAGTATTATTATTATTTGTATGAGTAAAAAGAAAAAAAAAGATGTGGGAACCAGCAGTTAGTGTAATGGCTATGTTGCTGAACTCCCATGTAGTCGACCATGGTTCGAGTCCCGGACCCAGTGGCTTAAACTCACGCTGGGCACGTGTGTGTCCGTGGCCAAGATCCTGAGAGGAGAATGGAGGAGAAGGGATTGCGGCATGGCCATCCCCCCTGGGGGGGAGTGATTTCTCACTTTCTGTCTCTCTGTTTCTGTCTTTCTGGCTAGTGCACGCACCCTATAGCAAAAAAATCTCAAAAAAAAAAAAAAAATTGTATGTAAATATACACTCATATATGTAACAGGACTTCGGAAAGTTTATGGAACATAGAATTAACGTATGAGTTTTACTTTGGTGCAAAAATGTTCAAAGCCCATGTGCGGTCTTTTCATAATATACATTTTCCACTTTTTGAAGGCCCTTTGCATATGTACACATAGGCTCCCTACCAAGCGAAGGGTATCACATGGCTGCGTGTGTATTCCTATGATGCATGCATACAGCCATAAGAAGAAATAGAGGAAAGGAAGAAAAAAAGAAATGACCGCTTGCTAATGTCCAGCTCTGAAGCCCCTGCCCCACATGATGTTCCACTACTGTTTTAAGAAGGGCAATGAAAGAGAGGGCTGATGTTGGAGGAGGTGAAGTGCTCAAAGCTTAGGAGAGAGCCTACCTGTAACCCCAACATGGCACCATGGGTTTGCTGGCGAGAGGCTGGAGAAGGATCACAGGTTGGTGTTCTCTCTTGACCCAGGAGCTTCTGAGGTGGGACACAATTAGAGCTCCCCCATTTAGCCACACATTCATTGAATACATATTTATTTATTTATTTATATCTTCTATGATAGAAATAATATCTTCTATCTCTCACTCGAGAGACAGCACCCCCAACAAGGTTCCAATGCCGCCATCCACCCAAGCTGTAGCCAGCCCTGGATTATGGGCATGTGTGTGCCTTCACCCTCAGGGAGGTCTCCAGACACAAACCCATGTAGGTGGCGTCCCAGAGTTGCATCACCATCCGGTCCTCCACTGGACATTTATGAGTGTCTGTTATGCCTGAGTCATTGTTCTAAACCCAGGGATACATACAACAGTGGACAGAGAAGACCAAAACAAAATAAAACATTAAACAGCCATCTCATCCACAGAGTGATTACATTTTCATGGACACAGATGGACATTATGAATGAGTTAGACTTGTGGTATGCTGAAGAGTGATAAATGCTATGGGGAAAAACTAAGCAAGGAAGGGATTTAGGGATTGTTGGATGAATTGCCCTTTTAAGTAGGATGGTTGGGGAAGGTCTTGGGAATGGCTGGTATTTGATTAAAGACTTAGAAGACCCCTCTGCAGATATCCAGGCAGAGGGAAGAGCAAGTGCAGTGATTTAAAGGTGGGAGCAAGGAGAACCACAGGCAGGGCAACATGGCTGGAATGCAGTGGTCTAGCCCAGTGGTTCTTAACAGGGAGCCATTTTGCCCGTCTCCCCACAGGGGACATCCGGCAATGTCTGGAGACACTTTTGGTTTCACAACGAGGGGAGGAGTGTGTGCTACCAGTGTCTAATAGGTGGAGGTCAGGAATGCTGTTTCACATTCTTTGATGTACATACAGAATAACCTCCCCCTTCTCCAAAGAATTCTCTTGCCCCACGTGTCAAGAGTGCCAATGTTGAGAAACCCAAGGGTAGACTTGCGAAGAGTTGTAAGAGATGCTGTCAGAGAGCTAACGAGAGGAAGGGGGGTAGACAGGGAGACCACTAAGAGCCTTATAAGCATTGTAAGAACTTCAGCTTTTACTCTAGGCCAAATAGGAAGTCATTGGCTGTTGGCTTAAACATAATGACAATGTTGAGCTGTGAAATTTCCATGTCACAGTCAGGGAGGAGAATACCAGGTGGTCCTTGATCTTGGCTCTAAGACCTGGCTCCCCTGGCTTCCTCTAGGTGGCTACACCTCAGGTGCTGGAAAGAAGGACAGGCCATTTCCAGTCATTAAGTAGGACTCCTTCAGGAGGCAGAAACCCTGCTTTGGTAGGGAATTATTAATTCTTGCTTCTATGAGAACAGCCCAGCCTTCCTTAATTACTGGGAGCCACGGGAAGTCGGCAGGTCATCACAACAAGGGAGTCGCCCTTTTATTTCACCAACTGTTTCTGGAGGTGAGTTGCAGTGCAAGGCTAGTGTTTGGACATAAACCTTCCTTTAGGTAATTACTTGCCTTCTAGGAATATTTTTGAAAAGAATAATTTATTTAATTTTATTTATCATCATTCTTCTTCTTTTATTTATTTATTTATTTTTTAAATTTGCTACAGGGCATGTGCACTCACCAGAGAGAGCTAGAGAGAAAGAGAGAGAAATTGAGAAAGCAAGCTGCCAGGTCCAGGATCCAAACCACGGCTGGCCATGCAGGAATCCAGCACCTTAACCGCCACATCACCTGCTGGCTCCATGCCTTCTAGAAATGTTTAATATAATGGGGGTTAGGGGGAGGGAGGAAGACTCACCCCGACATCCATACCTCAAACATTCATGGAGCACCTGCTGAGTGTGCACTGCTAGGAGCTGTGACGAGAGGGATGAAGGAGGGAGGGAGTGCAAGAGGGAGGGAGCTTGTGCTGGGAGAGACCCCACAATACAGTGAGATCCTTGGGAACAGGCTGGAAGACCGGCTCCGCCTCAGCCTCAGCAGCTAGTGGCACAGAAGAGGTGGCACTTAGGCTTTGGAAGACAAAGGAACACAGGAATTAGAGCCAAGCAGAGGGCAGCGTGAGACAATGGGAGCTGGGCTCTACAGCTATTTGGACCACATCCTTGTAGATCTGTATTTAAAAGGCCTGGATCCGGTCCAGACTTCCACATAGTACAAGCCCCCAGGGACCTGTGAACCAGCTGTTTCTCTGACTGCACGTTGCAAGCCCTGCTCCAGGAAACTGAAGGCAGGGTTCAGGCATCCAGCTTCACAATATGCTTCCTACAGACAGGCATCTAAATGCGCTGGTTCTAAAAGCAAAAGGCCTTTAGGAGGCTTTTTGGGCACCTGGCCTGCTTAGCATGGCTGCACTGAACACGGTAGTTCTCAGTCCTGAGTGGCCTAAATATTACTGGGGGAGCTGATTAAACTATGTGTTTCTGAGCCCCACCACAGACCCTTTGCCTCAGTCCCCTGGGGTGGTGTATTGAGGAAACCACCAGGAGATGACCTGGCCTCATAGACTGTGGCTGAGACACTCATCTTTTGGTCACACTAAGCTCCCCTCCAATCCTTGGAACCTCCGAGCTCTCAGCATCTCACCCAGTGTCTCATCTATTTATTTTAATCAGAATAGCAACCTCTGATTGAGCTC